AAGAGTAATTGTGAGGCATTAGAGTGTTCAGACACCACCAACACCCACCCTCATGTGACAGGTGCATGTAATTTACATTTTTTAATTAAACATTTTTTAACAATTATCAACAATTTTTTTACAGCAGGGCCCATTCCTGCACCAAGCAAGAGTAACTGTGAGGGGTTACAGTATTCAGGCACCACCAACACCCAAGGCCCAGGTGCATATAATTTCAGTTTTTCATAGCTGTGCCAATTCCTGTGCTCAACAAGAGTAACTGTAAGGGGTTACAGTGCAGAGGCACCCAAGACCCATTTTTTCAACACACTGTGTGACAGGTGCATATAATTTGAATCTTTAGAGCAGGGTCCAATCCTGTACTCGACAAGAATAATTCTGAGGGGTTATGGTGTGAAGGCACCACCAACTGTTTCACCCACCAAACACCCCACAATGCACTGCTCTCTCACAGTACACAGTCCCCACCCCACACTATGTAAGGCTGCTTACACTGAAGCCTTATGCAGTGTGTTGCTGGACACTGGCGAAGACAGTGGGGAGAAACTCTCCCCCCAACAAATAAATAAATAATAATAAAAAAAAAAATACAAATAAAACAAATAATACAAAAAAATAGCCGCGGCTTACCAGGCCTTGTACCCTCAGCATGGGCATGGTGTCCCCATGCTGATGGAGACAAGGGCCTCTTCCCCACAACCCTGGTGTGCTGGTTGTGGGGGTCTGCAGGCAGGGAGGCTCATTAGCCTTACCTATAATGCTACCACCTCCCCCTCACTCCCCCTCTCTGTTGGGGTCCCTCAAGGCTCCGTCCTCGGGCCCCTTCTCTTCTCCATCTACACCTCCTCCCTTGGCCATTTCATACACCACCTATATGCCGACGACACACAAATCTATCTATCAACCCCCCACCTCACCACCTCAGTCTCCGCCCGAATCACACACCTACTGAGCGACATATCAGACTGGATGTCGCTCCACTTCCTTAAACTGAACCTCTCCAAAACCGAGTTTCTTGTCTTCCCCCCAGCCCGGACACCACCCCCCATTGACTTCTCCATCACATCCAACAACGCCACCATCAATCCCGCCCCACAGGCCAGAGTACTTGGTGTCATTCTGGACTCCAACCTTCCAGCCCAAAGTCCAATCTTTAACAAGCTCGTGCAGACTCCACCTCCACAACATCGCCAAAATACACACGTTCCTAACCCCAGAAACCACTAAACAGCTCATCCACTCCCTCATTATATCACGACTCGATAACTGCAACTTCCTCCTTACTGGCCTGCCTCGCCGCTGGCTATCCCTGCTTCAGTCGATCCTGAATACGGCTGCCAGACTCATTCACCTTTCCAACTGCTCCATTTCTGCCACCCCCCTCTGCCAATCCCTCCACTGGCTTCCGATTGCATAACGGATCAAATTCAAAATCCTAACACTGACGTACAAAGCCGTCCACCATACTGCCCCGAACTACATCACTTACCTAATATCCAAGTACCACCCAGCACGCACGCTCCGCTCCTCACAAGACCTCCTTCTCTCTAGTTCCCTGGTCTCCTCCTCCCATGCCCGCCTCCAGGACTTCTCCAGGGTGTCACCCATCCTCTGGCGCTCCCTGCCCCAACCCATCAGATTATCACCTACTCTGCTCTCCTTTAGGCGCACCCTGAAAACCCACCTCTTCAGGGAAGCCTACCCCACCCCCTGCTAACTTGCCAACCTCCTCCACTCTTCCTACCACCGCATCCCCCACAGCTATATCCTCCTGTGCCACCATCCCCTCCCTCCTAGATTGTAAGTTCGAAAGAGCAGGGCCCTCGATCCCCTCATGTTTTGCACTGTATTGTTGTTGTTCTGTCACATGTTCTGTCCCCCTTTGTAATGTACAGTGCTGAGCGAACTATTGGCGCTTTATAAATACTGTATAATAATAATAATATTAGCATCAGGGTACCCCTTTATATCAGGGGGCACTCTGATGTTGCCCCCTCTTTGTGAATGATTAAGGGGTAATTGTACCCCTACCCATTCACTAAAGGGTTAAATTTAGAAAAAATAGAGACCAGACTTTTGAAAAATTCCTTTAATTGAGCAAAAAACTGTTTTTGTCCCTAATTTAAAAAAAAAAAAACTGTTTCCATCGATGTAATCCATCGTCAATCACGATGTCCAGCGTTGTCATGACTCGCCAACATTTTTTTGTAAAAACCGACACCCGCCGGCCCATCTGAACGCTCCACGCACTCACAGCAAATATGACAAGTCAGACAGTTGTCCGTCAGATGTAAACAAGTAGGCGGAGCTAGCAGGCGTCTGGGTTTTTTTTACTACAGCGAGACATCGTCGTTGTGACGAGGCTGGACGCTGTGATTGATGATGGGGACCATTTTTTGGCCTTTTTTTTAAATTAAAGGACTTGCCAAAAACTGTTTTTGTTTTTTGTTCAATTTAAGGAATTTTTCAAAAGACTGGTCTCTATTTTTTACTGAATTTAACCCTTTAGTGAATGGGTAGGTGGTACAAGTACCCCTTACTTATTTACAAGGGGGGAGCATCAGGGTGCCCTCTTATTCAAAGGGGTACCCTGATGCTAATGACCCCCCAATCCGCAAAACCTCTACAACCACCAGGGTTGAGGAGAAGAGGCCAAGGGCATGTGGTCTGGTAAGCTGAAGGGGAGTGCAATATTTTGGCACATGTTGGTGGAGCACAAGGAGGATTCACATGAAGATATATATTAAGCATTAGAAGAATATATATTTGGCACACAATTTGGTGTGGGACTCTTGATTATTTATAAATTATTCACAAACATAATTTGATATATCTAATTTTTATCTGTTGGACTGTGGGCATAATTTTTATATATGTATGTGAAGTGCCAGACCTTTATTTATTTAGATTTTTTTATTGTGGGGTCCTTCCTACCAGACCTAAAGAGTCTGGCATGGATTGGATGGGGGGGCTCCACACTATTTTTTATTTTTAATAAAATGTCATCGGTGCTGCTGCAGCAGATTCTATACATTGTACAGATGTGCAACTTTACAGGTAGTTTAAGTGAACCCCCCAGGCATGATATTTAAAGGAATTTTTTTTTTTTTTTTTACTGCCCCTTTAAAACCGATACTTGAAATAATTTTTTTTCATTGATTCCTGTCCCTCAAGGTAGTACCCAAGTACCCATACCCCTTTTATTGGCAATAACTTGCATATAAGTCTTCAAAATTGGCACTTTTGAATTTATAAGTTCAAGTTCCATAGACTTGAATTGAGTTCGAAGATCGGGGATGAATGTTCATTAGTTTCGAACAGTCGACCACGATACGAACATGGGGGTATTCAGCCCATCACTATTACTGAGCAGAGAATGCTTCCTCCTTTAATGGCCAGAGCTAAACCTTTTGCTAAAGCTGGGTAAATCTCCAGCAGACCCAAATTCATATGATCATATGCTCCTGCTCCTAGGTAACACGGGGCCATCCTTTAAGGCAACAAAGCCCATTTTTGGAAATACTCTGGTTAACATTTAACTGGACTCAATCATCACTAGTGCCACTGGATGGCTATAGTGACCCTACCCTATCCTCATTTTGTCCAGTACAAAGTTACAGCCTCCTTTAAATACCCTAGGGTTCAAATCCCTCCTAACCCACTTGATCATTACCGGTTGAATATTTGACCATTACTTTCCCATTTCGATAGCAAGGTGGAACTTTGGAATAAGCTATGGCTGTACCTTATTGGTAGAACCAATCTTAATAAAATGATCTTTGTGCCATAATTACGGTATTTTCTACACAATATGCCGGTTGTCATTCCGTTAAATATTTTCTGAGTAATTAATACTATTTGGGAGAGAAACCCGTCACCCCCAACTCAAACTGGAGAAATTACAACATCCAAAGGCTACTGAAGGCTTAGCCCTCCCTAACCCCTAGTTATACTATATGGTGGCTTAACTGCAGCACAGTTGAAGGGATTAGGGAACCTGATCCTGGAAATTTAGTCCCTGACTATTTTGGCCATAGTGGCTCATGTTACTAAAGCTGGACCTTGGCTGAGGATGTAGAATCTCACTTATTATACAAACCTAACAAATTCATGTCTACCTACATATTGATGCACAAAATCTGGGCTAAGACTAAACACTTACAAAAGGAGACAGGTTTTACAACTTTGAGCACTTAGTGCTTCTTAATCAGAACTGGGCAAACTTTAATACACCAGGAAATGGCGTGCTCACAGGATCATTTATTTTCTTCAGATATTTGCCATAGGTAAGCCCCTCCCCTTTACAGCTTTACAGTCCAAATATGGTATACCAGAAAATATGAATTTCTTTTATCTATAATTATCACATGCCATAAGAGCAAAAAGGCCCTCAGCTAAATGGTGTCTTTCCACTACCTCTATATTTTAATTATCCACAGTCACTTATAATAACACAAATTCAGTGTCTCCTATACACAACACGTGTGGTTATACGATATATTATATAATACCCCCTAAACGCCATAATATAACTAGAGATGAGCGAATCGAACTAGGCGAAGTGGAATTCGTTTCGAATATTAGGAAAATTTCGATTCGCGCCGAATCTGAAAATAAGCAGACTTCGGATGCGCGAATCAAAATTTTTCCTAAAATGGCGGCGACATGTGCGGCGACGGAGCGGGGATGTCTGGGAAGGCGCGCAGACAAGGCGCGCTGACCCATAATGCATTCATTCATGACATGTGATCGCATTAGCCAATCAGCAGCCAGCCAGCCAGCACTGTGTAATGGTCGAGCTATAAATGGCGGCCATTTTAGAATTCTCCATTTGCCTCCAGTCATTCAACAGAGGCAGACCTGGCTGTATTCAGGGAGAGAGTTAGGGACACAGAAAAGTTACTTAGGGACACAGAAACGTTAGTTAGGGACACAGAAACGTTACTTAGGGCCACAGAAACGTTACTTAGGGACACAGAAACGTTACTTAGGGCCACAGAAACGTTACTTAGGGACACAGAAGCGTTACTTAGGGACAAAGAAACGTTACTTAGGGCCACAGAATCGTTACTTAGGGCCACAGAAACGTTACTTAGGGCCACAGAAACGTTACTTAGGGCCACAGAATCGTTACTTAGGGCCACAGAAACGTTACTTAGGGCCACAGAAACGTTACTTAGGGCCACAGAATTGTTACTTAGGGACAGACACAGAATTGTTACTGAGGGACACAGAATTGTTACTGAGGGCCACAGAACTGTTAGGGCCACAGAAACGTTACTTTAGGGCCACAGAATTGTTACTTAGGGACAGACACAGAATTGTTACTGAGGGACACAGAATTGTTACTGAGGGCCACAGAACTGTTACTTAGGGCCACAGAAACGTTACTTAGGGACACAGAATTGTTACTCAGGGACAGACACAGAATTGTTACTTAGGGACAGACACAGAATTGTTACTGAGGGACACAGAATCGTTACTTAGGGCCACAGAAACATTACTAAGGGCCACAGAAACGTTACTTAGGGCCACAGAATTGTTACTTAGGGACAGACACAGAATTGTTACTGAGGGCCACAGAATCGTTACTTAGGGCCACAGAAACGTTACTTAGGGACACAGAATTGTTACTCAGGGACAGACACAGAATTGTTACTGAGGGACACAGAATTGTTACTGAGGGCCACAGAACTGTTACTTAGGGCCACAGAAACGTTACCTAGGGCTACAGAATCGTTACTTAGGGCCACAGAATCGTTACTTAGGGCCACAGAATCGTTACTTAGGGGCCACAGAAACATTACTTAGGGCCACTGAAATGTTACTTAGGGCCACAGAATTGTTACTTAGGGACAGACACAGAATTGTTACTGAGGGACACAGATTTGTTACTGAGGGCCACAGAACCGTTACTTAGGGCCACAGACAGAAACGTTACTTAGGGCCACAGAACTGTTACTTAGGGCCACAGAAACGTTACTTAGGGCCACAGAATCGTTACTTAGGGCCACAGAATCGTTACTTAGGGCCACAGAAACATTACTTAGGGCCACAGAATTGTTTCTTAGGGACAGACACAGAATTGTTACTGAGGGACACAGATTTGTTACTGAGGGCCACAGAACCGTTACTTAGGGCCACACAGAAACGTTACTTAGGGCCACAGAAACGTTACTTAGGGACACAGAATTGTTACTCAGGGACAGACACAGAATTGTTACTGAGGGACACAGAATTGTTACTGAGGGCCACAGAACTGTTACTTAGGGCCACAGAAACGTTACTTAGGGCCACAGAAACGTTACCTAGTGCTACAGAAACGTTACTTAGGGCCACAGAATCGTTACTTAGGGCCACACAGAATCGTTACTTAGGGCCACAGAAACATTACTTAGGGCACACAGAAACGTTACTTAGGGCCACAGAAACGTTACTTAGGGCCACAGAATTGTTACTAAGGGGACAGACACAGAATTGTTACTGAGGGACACAGATTTGTTACTAAGGGCCACAGAACCGTTACTTAGGGCCACAGAAACGTTACTTAGGGCCACAGAAATGTTACTTAGGGCCACAGAATCGTTACTTAGGGCCACAGAAACGTTACTTAGGGCCACAGAAACGTTACTTAGGGCCACAGAATTGTTACTAAGGGACAGACACAGAATTGTTACTGAGGGACACAGATTTGTTACTGAGGGCCACAGAACCGTTACTTAGGGCCACACAGAAAACGTTACTTAGGGCCACAGAAACGTTACTTAGGGCCACAGAATTGTTACTAAGGGACAGACACAGATTGTTACTGAGGGACACAGATTTGTTTACTGAGGGCCACAGAACCGTTACTTAGGGCCACAGAAACGTTACTTAGGGACACAGAATTGTTACTCAGGGACAGACACAGAATTGTTACTGAGGGACACAGAATTGTTACTGAGGGCCACAGATTGTTACTAAGGGGCCACAGAAATGTTACTTAGGGCCACAGAATCGTTACTTAGGGCACAGAATCGTTACTTAGGGCCACAGAAACGTTATTTAGGGCCACAGAATTGTTACTTAGGGACAGACACAGAAATTGTTACTGAGGGACACAGAATTGTTACTGAGGGCCACAGAATTGTTACTTAGGGGACACAGAAACGTTACTTAGGGACACAGAATTGTTACTCAGGGACAGACACAGAATTGTTACTTAGGGACACAGAATTGTTACTCAGGGACAGACACAGAATTGTTACTGAGGGATACAGAATTGTTACTGAGGGACACAGAAACCGTTACTTAGGGCCACAGAAACGTTACTTAGGGCCACAGAAACATTACTTAGGGCTACAGAAATTGTTACTTAGGGCCACAGAATCGTTACTTAGGGCCACAGAAACTTTACTTAGGGCCACAGAAACGTTACTTAGTGCCACAGAATTGTTACTTAGGGACAGACACAGAATTGTTACTGAGGGACACAGATTTGTTACTGAGGGCCACAGAAACCGTTACTTAGGGCCACAGAAACGTTACTTAGGGACACAGAATTGTTACTCAGGGACAGACACAGAATTGTTACTGAGGGACACAGAATTGTTACTGAGGGGACACAGAATTGTTACTGAGGGACACAGAATTGTTACTCAGGGACAGACACAGAATTGTTTTGTTACTCAGGGACAGACACAGAATTGTTACTGAGGGACACAGAATTGTTACTGAGGGACACAGAATTGTTACTCAGGGACAGACACAGAATTGTTACTCAGGGACAGACACAGAATTGTTACTCAGGGGACACAGAATTGTTACTGAGGGACACAGAATTGTTACTGAGGGACACAGATTTGTTACTGAGGGCCACAGAACCGTTACTTAGGGCCACAGAAACGTTAATTGTTAGGGACACAGAATTGTTACTCAGGGACAGACACAGAATTGTTACTCAGGGACAGACACAGAATTGTTACTGAGGGACACAGAATTGTTACTGAGGGAGGACACAGAATTGTTACTCAGGGACACTGAATTGTTACTCAGGGACACAGAATTGTTACTGAGGGACACAGAATTGTTACTGAGGGACACAGAATTGTTACTCAGGGACAGACACAGAATTGTTACTCAGGGACACAGAATTGTTACTGAGGGACACAGAATTGTTACTGAGGGACACAGAATTGTTACTGAGGGACACAGAATTGTTACTCAGCGACAGACACAGAATTGTTACTCAGGGACAGACACAGAATTGTTACTGAGGGACACAGAATTGTTACTGAGGGACACAGAATTGTTAGGGGGGCAGAATTGCTGACAGACACAGAATTGTTACTCAGGGACAGACACAGAATTGTTACTGAGGGAGACAGAATTTTTACTGAGGGACACAGAATTGTTACTGAGGGACACAGAATTGTTACTCAGGGACACAGAATTGTTACTCAGGGACAGACACAGAATTTGTTACTCAGGGACACAGAATCGTTTAATTAAAGAGTATGTCAGACACATGCAGAGGAGTGGCAGAGGAGGCAATGTTTTACTGAGGGAGCACAGAATTGTTAGCAGACGGGCAGCAGAGGAGGGGGTCGATTACTGAGGGCAGCAATTAGTCGCAGCCAGAGGCCAGTGCTCCCGAATTGTCATCCAGGGTCGAATTGTCTCCACCGACAACCCTGCCGTCATCGATTGGTTGGCTCAGGGTCGTCTTCCTCTTACCCAGGTCACCTCTGACACCTACAGCCAACGGTCGGTGGGTACGTCAGACACAAACCGTTAGTTGGCATGGCCCGGGAGCAAGCCCACTGAAATCACGTGTCCTCGACCTGCCCTGTCCTTTGGTGTTCCCTCACCAAGCGAAGTATCGCATGCTGTGGGCTCAGCCCCACTGTACAGTGAGGAAGAGCTAACAGAGGGCGGTCAGGAACGGGGGGGGGGACATCCGCCTCTTCAGCAGCCAGGCGAAGAAATAGTGGCGAGGAGAGTGGCTCGGTAGCCGGTCTAGAGACAGGTCTGTCTCCTGACCCACACGCAGCCGAGGGGGCTAGTAGTGAGGCGGAGACCCTAATTGATGATGATGAGGCTGATCGCACTTGGCAGCCTCGTCGTCATCAGGCTATTGCTTCCGCATCATCAGGGAGAAGAGGGTGGCAGCTTGGCAGCGAGCAAAACAGTCGGTGGGTTGCCTAGGAGGCAGCAGGGTCGCAGCAGTGTCAGTGGAGGCAAACGGCCATGGAGTACAGCACCAGCTCCACTGCAGCCTACCACCCACGGCCAGTAGTGGGTGCCGGTGTGCATGGAGGAAGCAGCAGTCAGCCAGTGTGGAGTATCGGGGGCAAAGTTTCCTACTCGGCGGTGTGTGGCAATTTTTTGTTGCGCATGCCGCCCGAGGAAGTAAACGTAGCCGTATGTCGGACTATGTGGCCCCCAAAGTCAAGCGTGGCCAGGGGGCCCATGTTGGGACTACAGCGTTGCGGGCAGCATATGCAGCGTCGCCATTTTGGTGGCCTGGGAAAACCGTGATAAAGATATGGCGGTTCTGCCACGTGGGCCCCAGCCCCCGCTCTCCATCACCCGCCCGTTACTTGCTCCGTCACCCGACGTCAATCGCCCTCAATCAGCCACACAGGCTCCAACACCCATTGCTGAGGGGAGTGGGTCAGTCGCCAGTGTCGCAGTTATCACACTGAGCTAAGTGGTTCAGATGCTGGTCAGATTACGGGACCTCCATACCCTGCTTCAGGGTTCTGCCATGGCAGTCTTTACTTGGAATCCAGAAGTCATCCAATGGGGCCAGGTCAACAGTTGCTGAGTAGCCGGGCACCTGTACGGCCTCCCATTGGTGCTGTCTCCATGCCAAGTTCTGGGGGTGCAAGCAAAAGCAGGGCTCCTCACACAAAGTCTGCAAGTGTGTGTTCAGCATTTTGTCATAGGGTGCTGGCAGAGGGCCCACGGAGCAGTGCTCATAATCATGGCCATGGGCCCCCGCACACAGTTCCTCATGTGCTGGGGTGCCAGTTGTGGTCATGGGTCCCTGGAGCACGGCCTCCGTCCGGGAGTCCACGGCAGGGCTGTCTCAGGTAGCCACACTCTGTGTGTGACATTTCAGGTCTCCTCACGGGTGGCTGGTGCCGTCCAAGGTTGCATAGGGTGCTGGACAGCACCAGCTTCACTGGGCCTCCCAGCCAGTTGGTGCTGTGTGCCAGGTCAAGTAGATCTACGCAGCCATGGGCAAAGTTTTACCGGCCTTTTTTGTGTCAAGCTGCTGCCTGCCAGTGTCCCAGTTAAGCCGTATGTCGATGGTGTATTGGCCATGTGATGGGTCCCTGTAAGGTCAGGGGGCATTGCTGTTGGGACTACAGCGCCTTGCGTCGCCAGCAGTATGCAGCAGGTGCCGCCTTTTGGTGGCCTGGGACAAACTGTGGCTGTAAAGATCGGTTCATGCCTGGCAGAGCCCCCCCTCCCATTAGCTGCTGCCAAAGCCCCCGTTAGTCTTGCTCCCTGTCACCGCCTCGGTCATGCGCTTCTCTATCAGCCAGTCATGCAGGCTCCAACACCCTCTGCTGACTGTGTTGTCGCGATCGTTGCCATCTTCCGCTCGTTCAGTTGCTCCTCTTCTCCTGCTACTCCTCTTCACGGATTCATGTCAGCAGTCTTTCTTGGAATCCGTTTCCAAGAGACAACAGTTTGCGAGCATGCACCCGACGGTGCAAAAGAACTGAACGTCACTCTGTCCAAGTTGCTGGTGCTGCAGTCCCTCCCTTTCCAAGTGGTGAACTCAGCACCTTTCCGAGAAATGATGGCTTGGCGGTGCTGGAGAGTGCCAAGCCATCATTTCTTCGCCAAAAAGGCAGTGCCAGCCCTGCATTCACATGTAGAAGAGATGGTGGGCCAGTCTTTGAGCATGTCGGTCTCTGCCAAAGTGCACGGCAGCGCCGACGTGTGGAGCTGTAACTACGGTCAGGGACAGTACATGTCATTTACGGTCCCACTGGGTGAACGTGGTGCCGTCACAGCCGCACCAGCAACTTGGACAGGTCACGCCGCTTTTGCCTCCACGTTTGCACGTCCTTGGTCCGGCAAAGATGTCCGCCTCTATCACCTCTTCTTCCGCCGTGTCCTCAGCCGCCACCCCCGGCCAAGTCCCATTACCCGACCGGCATATCACATGTGCAGGGCGCAACGGTGTCACGCTGTGCTGCACCTGGTATGCCTTGGCGAACGTAGTCACACAGGGGAGGAACTTCTCAGTGTAATGAACAGAGAAATCGACAGATGGCTGTCTCCGCGCAAACTGAAAATCGGAACCATGTTGACCGACAACGGAAAGAACATGGTGTCTGCTCTGCGTCAAGGAAGGTTTGTGCCATGCGCCATGCATGGCTCACGTGTTCAATCTGGTTGTCAAGCGGTTCCTAAAATCCACCATCCCACTGCAAGACATCCTTAAAATGTCACGTAAACTTTGCATGCATTTCAGCCATTCCTACACCGCAAAGCACACCCTCCTTGAGCTGCAGCGGCAGAACGGAATTCCACAGCATCGCCTGATCTGCGACGTTGCAACAAGGTGGAATTCAAACCCTACACATGTTAGACCGCCTTTACGAACAGCGAAAGGCCATCACCGATTTCCTGATGTTACAAGCGGATAAAGGGTACTCCCCTGTGTAACTTCGATGTCAGCCATTGGCAGCTCATGCGTGACACCTGCCGCTTGCTCAGGCCCTTTGAGGAGGCCACGCTATTCGTGAGTCGGCAGGACTATGGGGATGAACGACGTCATTCCTCTGTTGCACGTCCTGGAACAAATGCTGTTAACAATGGCTGGTCAGGGTGCGGTAGACGTGGCGCACAGATCTCAACGCCACATGACCCCTGTGGGGGGGCAGGACAGGAAGAAGAGGAGGAGGTAGAGGAGGACATTGGTGCTCAGGAATTATTGAGTGAAATGGGTGGTTTTTCCACTCAGCGGACAGGAGTGGAGGAGCAGGAGCATCTGGTAGAGGAGGAGGAGGAGGAGACAGAGGACCCAGACGCACCGTGGCAGTATGCTGTGGAGATGGAGGCAGGGAGTCCCTCGCATTCCTTGGCACAAATGGCCCATAGCATGCTCGGTTGCTTGCGTAGCGACAGCCGAATAATAACCATCAGACAGAGGGATGACTTTTGGCTGTCCACCTTGTTGGACCCTCGCTACCGTTCAAAAATGGTGGCCTTTTTTTCACACCTGCTGAGAGGGAGGCCAAAATAACGTACTATAAAAACCACCTATGTAGTCAGTTGGTCTCTGCCTTTGTGCGCCAACGTCCATCCTCAGACACTGTGGGCCCTGTGCGCTCGCGTTCCGCTGCCATGGCAGCAGGGGAGGGGTGGGGTGGTAGGAGCAGTGGCAGCTCCACCAGCAGCGGCTGCCTCAGTCTGCAGTCGATGATGAGTAGCTTTCTTCACCAGCGCAGTGAGGAAACTACTAACCAGCCGCAGCAGCAGCAGCAGCAGCATCAGGTGGACCTGGAGCAGGACCTCAAACAACAGGCTTGGGCCTACTTGGACAGCACCCTGCCAACCGAGGTAGACAATCCCTTGACTACTGGGCAACGAAACTTGACCTTTGGGCCCCAACTAGCTGAATTTGCCCTTGAAAGGCTGTCATGCCCGGCCAGTAGCGTGGCATCGGAGCGCGTGTTTAGTGCGGGAGGTAGGTTGTAACTCCGCGGAGGACACGACTGTCCACCCAAAGTGTGGAGAGACTCACGTTTGTGAAAATGAATCAGGCGTGGATTAGTCTGGATTTCAAACCACCAGTTCCTGACACAACTGACTAAATCCGCCATGAATCATGCCCCAAACATGTGCCACTTTCAGGTCTCCTCACACTGCTGGTGTGTTCCATTTTTTGTCATAGGGTGCTGGCAGATTACGGGCCTCCCATTGCTGCTGCCAGGCCCGTAATCTGCCATGGGCCCCCCTGTACCGCCTCCTCATGCTGCTGCCAGGTCCAGAGTGTGTCATGGGTCCCTGTACGGCCTCCCATTGCTGCTGTCTCCATCGCCACCACTCTGCCATGTGCCACTTTCAGGTCTCCTCACACTGCTGGTGTGTTCCATTTTTTGTCATAGGGTGCTGGCAGATTACGGGCTCCCATTAGCTGGGCCCCTAATCTGCCATGGGCCCTGCCATGCTGCTGCCAGGTCCAAGTCTGCCATGGGCCCTGTACGGCCTCCTCATGCTGCTGCCATGGTCCCACAGTGTCTCATCATGCCATGTGCCACTTTCAGGTCTCCTCACACTGCTGGTGTGTTCCATTTTTTGTCATAGGGTGCTGGCAGATTACGGGCCTCCCATAGCTGCTGCCAGGCTGGGGCTGCCAGGCCCAGGTAATCTGCCATGGGTCCCTGTACGCCTCCTCATGCTGCTGCCAGGTCCAGTGTCTCTGCCATGTGCCACTTTCAGGTCTCCTCACACACTGCTGGTGTGTTCCATTTTTTGTCATAGGGTGCTGGCAGATTACGGGCCTCCCATAGCTGCTGCCAGGCCCCTAATCTGCCATGGGCCCCTATACCGCCTCCTCATGCTGCTGCCAGGTCCACAGTGTCTCATGGGTCCCTGTACGGCCTCCCATTGCTGCTGTCTCCATCGCCACACTCTGCCATGTGCCACTTTCAGGTCTCCTCACACTGCTGGTGTGTTCCATTTTTTGTCATAGGGTGCTGGCAGATTACGGGCCTCCCATAGCTGCTGCCAGGCCCCTAATCTGCCATGGGCCCCTGTACCGCCTCCTCATGCTGCTGCCCTCTCTCATGGGGTCGGCCACATTGCTGCTGTCTCATGCCATGTGCCACTTTCAGGTCTCCTCACACTGCTGGTGTGTTCCATTTTTTTGTCATAGGGTGCTGGCAGATTACGGGCCTCCCATAGCTGCTGCCAGGCCCCTAATCTGCCATGGGCCCCTATACCGCCTCCTCATGCTGCTGCCAGGTCCAGAGTCTCTCATGGGTCCCTGTACGGCCTCCCATTGCTGCTGTCTCCATCGCCACACTCTGCCATGTGCCACTTTCAGGTCTCCTCACACTGCTGGTGTGTGTTCATTTTTTTTGTCATAGGGTGCTGGCAGATTACGGGCCTCCCATAGCTGCTGCCAGGCCCCTAATCTGCCATGGGCCCCTATACCGCCTCCTCATGCTGCTGCCAGGTCCAGAGTCTCTCATGGGTCCCTGTACGGCCTCCCATTGCTGCTGTCTCCATCGCCACACTCTGCCATGTGCCACTTTCAGGTCTCCTCACACTGCTGGTGTGTTCCATTTTTTGTCATAGGGTGCTGGCAGATTACGGGCCTCCCATTGCTGCTGCCAGGCCCGTAATCTGCCATGGGCCCCTGTACCGCCTCCTCATGCTGCTGCCAGGTCCACAGTCTCTCATGGGTCCCTGTACGGCCTCCCATTGCTGCTGTCTCCATCGCCACACTCTGCCATGTGCCACTTTCAGGTCTCCTCACACTGCTGGTGTGTTCCATTTTTTGTCATAGGGTGCTGGCAGATTACGGGCCTCCCATAGCTGCTGCCAGGCCCCTAATCTGCCATGGGCCCCTGTACCGCCTCCTCATGCTGCTGCCAGGTCCAGAGTCTCTCATGGGTCCCTGTACGGCCTCCCATTGCTGCTGTCTCCATCGCCACACTCTGCCATGTGCCACTTTCAGGTCTCCTCACACACTGCTGGTGTGTTCCATTTTGTCATAGGGTGCTGGCAGATTACGGGCCTCCCATAGCTGCTGCCAGGCCCTAATCTGCCATGGGCCCCTGTACCGCCTCCTCATGCTGCTGCCAGGTCCACAGTTGTCTCATGGGTCCCTGTCTCATGCCATGTGCCACTTTCAGGTCTCCTCACACTGCTGGTGTGTTCCATTTTTTGTCATTGGGTGCTGCTGGCAGATTACGGGCCTCCCATTGCTGCTGCCAGGCCCGTAATCTGCCATGGGCCCCTGTACCGCCTCCTCATGCTGCTGCCAGGTCCAGAGTCTCTCATGGGTCCCTGTACGGCCCTCCCATTTGCTGCTGTCTCCATCGCCTCACACTCTGCCATGTGCCACTTTCAGGTCTCCTCACACTGCTGGTGTGTTCCATTTTTTGTCATAGGGTGCTGGCAGATTACGGGCCTCCCATTGCTGCTGCCAGGCCCCTAATCTGCCATGGGCCCCTGTACCGCCTCTCATCATGCAGCTGCCAGGTCCAGAGTGTGTCATGGGTCCCTGTACGGCCTCCCATTGCTGCTGCCAGGAGGCAGCAGGGTCGCAGCAGTGTCAGTGGAGGCAAACGGCCACGGAGGAGTAGAGCACCAGCTCCACTGCAGCCTACCACCACGGCCAGTAGTGGTGCCGGTGTGCACGGAGAGGAAGTAGCAGTCAGCCAGTGAGGAGTAGCGGGGGCAAAGTTTCCTACTTGGGGTGTGTGGCAATTTTTTTCAAGCCGCCCGAGGAAGTAAACGTAGCCGTATGTCGACTATGTGGCCAGAAAGTCAAGCGTGGCCAGGGGGCCCATGTTGGGACTACAGCGTTGCGTCAGCATATGCAGCGTCGCCATTTCGGTGGCCTGGGAAAAACCGTGACTTACGGCGGTTCTGCCTGCCCCAGCCCAGGGTTCCATTTTGTCATCGGGTGCTGGCAGTTTACGGGCCTCCCATTGCTGCTGCCAGGCCCTTAATCTGCCATGGGCCCCTGTACTGCCTCCTCATGATGCTGCTGCCAGGTCCACAGTGTCTCATGGGTCCCTGAACCGCCTCCCATTGCTGCTGTCTCCATCGCCACACTCTGCCATGTGCCACTTTCAGGTTCTCCTCACACTGCTGGTGTGTTACATTTTTTGTCATAGGGTGCTGGCAGATTACGGGCCTCCCATTGCTGCTGCCAGGCCCGTAATCTGCCATGGGCCCCAGTACCGCCTCCTCATGCTGCTGCCAGGTCCAGAGTCTCTCATGGGTCCCTGTACGGCCTCCCATTGCTGCTGTCTCCATCGCCACACTCTGCCATGTGCCACTTTCAGGTCTCCTCACACTGCTGTGTGTGTTCCATTTTTTGTCATAGGGTGCTGGCAGATTACGGGGCCTCCCATAGCTGCTGCCAGGCCCCTAATCTGCCATGGGCCCCTGTACCGCCTCCTCATGCTGCTGCCAGGTCCCAGAGTCTCTCATGGGTCCCTGTAAGGCCTCCCATTGCTGCTGTCTCCATCGCCACATTCTGCCATGTGCCACTTTCAGGTCTCCTCACACACTGCTGCTGGTGTGTTCCATTTTTTGTCATAGGGGTGCTGGCAGATTACGGGCCTCCCATTGCTGCTGCCAGGCCCCTAATCTGCCATGGGCCCCAGTACCGCCTCCTCATGCTGCTGCCAGGTCCACAGTCTCTCATGGGTCCCTGTACGGCCTCCCATTGCTGCTGTCTCCATCGCCACACTCTGCCATGTGCCACTTTCAGGTTCCTCACACTGCTGGTGTGTTCCATTTTTTGTCATAGGGTGCTGGCAGATTACGGGCCTCCCATAGCTGCTGCCAGGCCCCTAATCTGCCATGGGCCCCTGTACCGCCTCCTCATGCTGCTGCCAGGTCCAGAGTCTCTCATGGGTCCCTGTACGGCCTCCCATTGCTGCTGTCTCCATCGCCACACTCTGCCATGTGCCACTTTCAGGTCTCCTCACACACTGCTGGTGTGTTCCATTTTTTGTCATAGGGTGCTGGCAGATTACGGGCCTCCCATTGCTGCTGCCAGGCCCGTAATCTGCCATGGGCCCCCGTACCGACTCCTCATGCTGCTGCCAGGCCCGTAATCTGTCATGGGCCCCTGTTGTTGCTTGTTGGCATATTCCGCTCGTTCAGATGCTCCTTCTCCTGCTACTCCTCTTCACGGATTCCGTCAGCAGTCTTTCTTGGAATCCGTTTCCAAGAGACAACAGTTTGCGAGCACGCACCCGACGGTGCAGAAGCTGAACGTCCTCCTGTCCAAGTTGCTGCTGCCAGGCTCGTAATCTGTCATGCGCCCCTGTACCGCCTCCTCATGCTGCTGCCAGGTCCAGAGTGTGTCATGGACCCCCGTACCGACTCCTCATGCTGCTGCCAGGCCCGTAATCTGTCATGGGCCCCTGTACCGCCTCCTCATGCTGCTGCCAGGTCCAGAGTGTGTCATGGGTCCCTGTACGGCCTCCCATTGCTGCTGTCTCCATCGCCACACTCTGCCATGTGCCACTTTCAGGTCTCCTCACACTGCTGGTGGGTTCCATTTTTTCATAGGGTGCTGTATGGCCTCCCATTTCTGCTGCCTCCACCGCCACACTGTGGCTCCACACTCTGGTTTTGGCCCCGTGACTGCCCAAATGAGTGAAGTGTGCGGTGATTCTAAGATCGACGGCACTCATCTGCATGTCATACTGACTGTCAGTATTATTTCTCTTCCCCAGCAGACTCCAAGGGCATCTAAATTAAAGGTACAGTGTTCTGCACTAATATAAAGGCTCTCTGAAGCCTAGAAACACCCTTTTATAAGTTAAATTCGCAGCGAATATATTCGACTCGATTCGAAATTTTTTCACGAATTCGCCGAATCAGTCGAATCGAATTTTTGAATAATTCGCTCATCTCTAAATATAACTTTCTCCCCTGAAAGTCCAAACCAAAAATCAAGTCTTTCTCAGTGTCCATATAATCTCAGTAACCCCTAATGTGATAAAGATATACTTTCTTCTTATTTAATAATCTTCCTCCATACATGATCCTTTGAGAAGGTCGGAAGTGATGAAATGTGTCAGAACGTCACATTGTGGTTGTCCTGAGAAATTTCATAAGCTCTGGGATAACTGGATGAGCACTTTTGGTCTTGTACCATTTGATCTTGTGTTACATAGTCTCCTATGATACTGCTTTACGCTTCATTATGTACCCCTTCTGAATTTTACTTGACGTGCGATTCTAATCGAAATTCGGAAGAAATTCTTGTTGTTCGGAGATTCAGATATATCCAAATTTCTGAATCACAGCAGTAACGAATTTCAACGAATCTGAAATAAATTTCAATGAAATGAATTATTCGAATTTGAAAATGAATTCAAATTCAACATGAATTCAAAAATGATTTCAAATTCAAAATGTAAACATATTGCAATGTATGTTGTGATCAATCAGTAAGTATTGATGATAGATATAGTATGCTGTACTTGTGATTTTTTTGGATATAGAACTGTATGTTTTTGCTGGAAGTATGGAGTTGTTGTTGTTTTTCTAATAAAGCTCTTGAATTAACCTCTCCAGCTCCTGATTTAACCACTTGCTGCCCACCTACAATGTACTGCAGGTGAGCAGTGACTATGGGCAAAGTTGCTCGATACTTCCAAGTTCGCTGCAGGAGCAGTTCATCAGCGGGTCCCAGGGAATGACTTTTGTCTGGGTCTCCGCTGATCTCCTGCAGTGAATGGAGAAGCAGAGCTGTGCCTGTATTTGTGAATACAGACACAGGATCTAGCTGGTTCTTCTCTCCCTGGACCTTTATCAGTGATTCCTTTTTCTGGCCACCTTGCAATCAAACAGTATCTCCCAAGCAAGTGTGCCAAATATGGGGTCAAACTGTATAAGCTCTGTGAGAGGGCTATAGGCTATACATACAATTTTATGGCTAGGAAGGAAGAGACAGTGAAGTAGAGCCCCCCGACTGACCAGACCATATGGGGAGCAGTGATAAGATAGTATGGAGCTTTATGTTACCTTTGTTCTGCAAGGGGTACCACTTACACGTAAACAACTTCTATACAAGTGTGCCACTATTTAGGCATTTATACAATCTTGGAATTGGCTCATGTGGCACCGTACAACCTAATCACCTGGCCTTCCCCCAACAGCTTGGAACCACCTGGCTTTGAAAAATCTGCTTGAGAAATGATTAATTGTTCGCAGTGAAGTGGAAGGACACGCGGGATGTTTTCATCCTGTTTTTCATTCACGCAGACATGATGGTCCAAAATAACATGGAATCTGGCATTGAGAAGCCCCTCTGTGTCCATGGCTATAACCTTAACATAGGAGGGATGGACTCCAATGACCACATGATGAAGTTGTACTTAGTTTCCCACAGAGTCAGACACTGGTAGAAAAAGGTGTCTATTTAATTATTCTATTGGCAGTATATAACCAAAAAGGTATGCCCAATTTGATTTCCTCTGGAGGTAGACCCATGGTGCTCCAAAGCTCACAGTGTCTTCCTGCCACTTTAAACAGCATGAGAGTATAAGGTGAAGAGCTGCAACTAATTTTTCTGATAAAAGTACTTATTAATGTATTAATAAAGGGTACAGTGTGCAAGTTATAGCAGCTTATGCAATGCAGGTTATGAATAAGGTTTTATACCGTAAAGCTTAAGCTGCTGTAACTTACACACCCTTTATTAATGAAGTACTTTTTTTAGTGGGAGAACAAGTTGCCGGCTCTTCACCTTATACTCAGGCTATATATAATGGCTATATATAATGCTTTTGTAATTTACAAAGCAACTGAACAAACTGGATCCTTCTTAAACTTTCAGGAAGAGATCATCATGGCCTTTTCCTGATGTGCTCTCCTGTACCCCACCCCAAAGAAGATGTCATTTCTGTAGCAGATGCGGAATAAAAAAAGACACCCACCTTTTCTGTCCCTCCTATCCCGGTCAAACTGGTCTCTGCATCATGGACTGTTTGCGTTGCTACTAGAGATGAGCGAATCGAAGTAGGCGAAGTGGAATTCGTTTCGAATATTAGGAAAATTTGATTCGCGTCGAATCCGAAAATAAGCAGACTTCGGATGCGCGAATCGAAAATTTTCCTAAAATGGCGGCGACATGTGCGGCGACGGAGCGGGGATGTCTGGGAAGGCGCACAGACAAGGCGCGCTGACCCATAATGCATTCATTCATGACATGTGATCGCATTAGCCAATCAGCAGCAGCCAGCCAGCCAGCACAGTGTAATGGTCGAGTTATAAATGGCGGCCATTTTAGAATTCTCCATTTGCCTCCAGTCATTCAACAGAGGCAGACCTGGCTGTATGCAGGGAGAGAGTTAGGGACAGAGAAACGTTACTTAGGGACACAGAAACGTTAGTTAGGGCCACAGAATCGTTACTTAGGGCCATAGAAACGTTACTTAGGGCCACAGAAACGTTACTTAGGGCCACAGAATCGATAGTTAGGGCCACAGAAACGTTACTTAGGGACACAGAATTGTTACTCAGGGACAGACAGAAATTGTTACTGAGGGATACAGAATTGTTACTGAGGGCCACAGAATCGTTACTTAGGGCCACAGAAACGTTACTTAGGGCCACAGAATTGTTACTTAGGGACAGACACAGAATTGTTACTGAGGGACACAGATTTGTTACTGAGGGCCACAGAATCGTTACTTAGGGCCACAGAATTGTTACTTAGGGACAGACACAGAATTGTTACTGAGGGACACAGATTTGTTACTGAAGGCCACAGAATCGTTACTTAGGGCCACAGAAACGTTACTTAGGGCCTCAGAATTGTTACTTAGGGACAGACACAGAATTGTTATTGAGGGACACAGAATTGTTACTAAGGGCCACAGAAACGTTACTTAGGGCCACAGAAACGTTACTTAGGGCCACAGAATCATTACTTAGGGCCACAGAAACGTTACTTAGGGCCACAGAAACATTACTTAGGGACACAGAATTGTTACTCAGGGACAGACAGAATTGTTACTGAGGGACACAGAATTGTTACTGAGGGCCACAGAATCGTTACTTAGGGCCACAAAACGTTACTTAGGGCCACAGAATTGTTACTTAGGGACAGACACAGAATTGTTACTGAGGGACACAGATTTGTTACTGAGGGCCACAGAATCGTTACTTAGGGCCACAGAATTGTTACTTAAAGGGACAGACACAGAAATTGTTACTGAGGGACACAGATTTGTTACTGAGGGCCACAGAATCGTTACTTAGGGCCACAGAAAACGTTACTTAGGGCCACAGAATTGTTACTTAGGGCCACAGAATTGTTACTTAGGGGACACAGAATTGTTACTTGAGGGACACAGAAACGTTACTTAGGGCCACAGAAACGTTACTTAGGGCCACAGAACGTTACTTAGGGCCACAGAATTGTTACTTAGGGACACAGAATTGTTACTGAGGGACAGACACAGAATTGTTACTGAGGGCCACAGAATTGTTACTGAGGGCCACAGAAACGTTACTTAGGGCCACAGAATTGTTACTTAGGGCCACAGAATTGTTACTTAGGGGACAGACACAGAATTGTTACTGAGGGACACAGATTTGTTACTGAGGGCCACAGAATCGTTACTTAGGGCCACAGAATTGTTACTTAGAGGGACAGACACAGAATTGTTACTGAGGGACACAGATTTGTTACTGAGGGCCACAGAATCGTTACTTAGGGCCACAGAAACGTTACTTAGGGCCACAGAATTGTTACTTAGGGACACAGAATTGTTACTTTGAGGGACACAGAATTGTTACTGAGGGCCACAGAATTGTTACTTAGGGCCACAGAAACACAGCCACAGAATTGTTACTTAGGGCCACAGAATCGTTACTTAGGGCCACAGAAACGTTACTTAGGGCCACAGAATTGTTACTTAGGGGACACAGAATTGTTACTCAGGGACAGACACAGAATTGTTTACTGAGGGATACAGAATTGTTACTGAGGGCCACAGAATCGTTACTTAGGGCCACAGAACGTTACTTAGGGCCACAGAATTGTTACTTAGGGACAGACAGAATTGTTACTTAGGGACACAGAATTGTTACTGAGGGCCACAGAACGTTACTTAGGGCCACAGAATTGTTACTTAGGGACAGACACAGAATTGTTACTGAGGGCCACAGAATTGTTACTGAGGGCAGAATTGTTACACAGAAACGTTACTTAGGGCCACAGAAACGTTACTTAGGGCCACAGAATTGTTACTAGGGCCACAGAATTGTTACTAGGAATTGTTAGGGAGGGACACAGAATTGTTACTGAGGGACAGACACAGAATTGTTACAGGGAGGGCCACAGAATTGTTACTTAGGGCCACAGAAACGTTACTTAGGGCCACAGAATTGTTACTTAGGGGACACAGAATTGTTACTGAGGGACACAGAATTGTTTACACAGGTTACTGAGGGCCACAGAATTGTTACTTAGGGACACAGAATTGTTACTAGGGCAGACACAGAATTGTTACTGAGGGCCACAGAAATTGTTACTTAGGGCCACAGAATTGTTACTTAGGGCCACAGAATTGTTACTTAGGGCCACAGAATTGTTACTTAGGGCCACAGAATTGTTACTTAGGGACAGACACAGAATTGTTACTTGAGGGACACAGAATTGTTACTGAGGGCCACAGAACCGTTACTTAGG